CATGAGATTTTTGTAAAATAACAACAGTTAAGAATCACAGTTGTTTCATCCAAAATAAAAAATAGCTTTATCGAGTGAGTTTTATGGAAATTTTTTTTAACTTAAATTAATCACTTTATTGAGAAAAGGTTACTGTAACAATGACCATGTTTGATGCAAACTACAGTAAAAGCTGAGCATCTGTAAAAATGGATCATACAGAGGAAACTCTTGATACTTCGCCCCTTGCATTTTGGTCCACACTGTAGCCCTGTAGTGTGTACCAAGTAAGCATATATGCATTATCCCATTTCATTCCTAAAACAAAGCGGCTGGGGACAGATCTCATCAATATCCCCACCTTACAAGCAGAGAGGTGATTTGCTTAGGGTTGTACAGAGAAACAGAAGTATGGCTGGAAGTTAATAAAGCCATCTTTCCAGTGCCACATTTTCTGTTCCTTGCTGTGGGACTTGGGTGAGTTCAGTATTGGAGACACTGCTGGGGGGATCTTGAGACCCACCTGCACCTTCTTCCACAACAATTTCAGAGCAGTTCAGCCCTGCAGCCCAATGCCACTGCTAACTGCCTGGGCAAGCACGCTGCCCCTTCGCCAGCCTAGGCTACTCCTTCCCTCTTTGTTCTGGAGGCATTTATTCCGGCCCAAATCCTCTTCCCTTCTGCAAGTTTACTTTCAACTGCCACAGGAGTGTCAGAAACCCAATCTATAGCTCCACCATTTACTCTTTCTACTATCATCGAACTGGGAGTCTAGTGGCACAAAAGGTTAAGTGCTCCGCTGCTAAACGAAACATTGGCAGTTCAAACCCACCCAGCGGTTCCCAAGGAGAAAAACCCGGAGATCTGCTTCTGTAAAGATTACAGCCTAGAAAACTGGGGCCATTCTGCTCTCTCCCATGGGGTTACCATGAGCTGAAAATGACTTGCCCACATCTTCCAACATCAACAGCATCATCGAACTAAAGCTGAGGCTGAATGTTTGATTCTAGTTCAACAAAAGCAAATGGCAATGACTTTGGAAGGTCAACCTAATCATGATCAATTATGGGCATGTTGGTTTTTGTGCATGACAGCTATTTCTTTGCTCCCAGAAAAGATGGAAGAGGAAGTGACCAGAGAGCGAGAATGGGGAGAAGGTTCTATTAAGGGAGAAAGATAAGATTAACAAGAAGATGACAGCTTTAGGAAAAAAACACTATTTTTCAAATTTACTGAGGGAAAATACTCACAACCCCTTTGCTTCTCAATTAATTAAACCACGTAATAAAACCCCACCTTTGTTTAAACCCATGTCTCTGCCTTCTCCATTCTTATAAGCAAGCAGTTAAAAGTAGTTAGGCAGAACCACTCTGCCATGCTGATGGACTTGACTTGAAACGAATGAACAAAATCTCAAAATACTGCCCAGCCCCTTGCTAAGCCCCAGAGGTCCACTTGTATGCTCTGTACGAGTGGACTATTTTACACTTCTTCCTCTCTTCCAACACCCTATCCCCTTCCCCTACTCTCAACTAATCAGTTTGCCCCAGTCTTTAAACAAACAGTTGCTGCCAAGCTGACTTCAGCCCATGAAGACCCCATGTGTGTCAGAGTAGAGCTGTGCTCCAGAAGGTTTTTAAGGGCTGATAGTTTAGAAGTTAGATCACCAGGCCTTTCTTCTGGGGTGCCTCCGGGTAGACTTGAACCACCAACCTTTCAGTTAGCAGCCAAGCACATTCATCACAAATTCCCTCATACTTCAACCACGAGAACCACAAATCTACCTGGGTCCCCACTTTTCTCCTCTGCCTCCATTCTTGTTACAGATCAGTCCTTTCTCCCATCAGTTAAAAATTGTTTCAAAATAGAAAATAGCATAGTCCCTAAGGTACTCGACTGCTAACCAGGAGGTTGGGGGTTCAAACCCACCAGCCACTCCTTGGAAGGAAGGATAGGCAATCTACTCCCATAGTGATACTGCCTCAAAAACCCAAAGAGGGGTCACTATGAGTCGGATCCGACTCGACGGCACATAACAACAACAATCTAAAGACTCAAGAAAATAAGATCTCAGGTGGATCATCTATGTTGTTGTGTGCCATCAACTTGACCCTCTATGACAGGGCAGAACTGCCACTAAGGTCTTCTAGGCTCTCATGTTTTTGGAAGCAGATCACCAGGTCTTTTTCTTGTGAAGCCACTGGTGGGTTCTAAGCACTGACCTCTCCGTTAGCCGTGAGTGCTTCACCATTGTGCCACCAGGCTCCTTCAGCTCATATACAGCCCTTAGGCAAATCCTCTTGAAAACCTCAGAAATTTTAACACTTCTAAAGTGTCAAATTAGTCACAATTTTATCTTAAAAATATTAGAAGAAGAACCTGCTAACTATGGCACTGTTAACAGTTACACACATGTCAACTGCAGAACAAATGAAAGAGATGGCAGCGTCCACGTGTCTCCTGTTACCTCTGTTGCAGAGCTTGCCGCGTGGGCTCTTTCAATCGCTCTTTGTCAGCCCTTTCGTCGATGTCTTCGATGCTCTTCAGCAGCTCCTCTTTCTGGTCCCAGAATGCCTTTTTTAACACCGCCAGGGCATCTGCCTCGCTCTGCTTCGTTCCCAGAAGGTTCTGGATTCTCTCTAATTCCAAGCAGAGCTGATCAGCCGTGGCTCTGCAGGAAGTCCTTTGCTCAGAGCTTCCGCTCTTCAGATGGTACTGGGCTTTGCTAAGAAGCCCATCAAGACTGACGGCAGTAGATTCTAACGTTTTAGCATCTTGAATGGTATCGCTTAAGTCCTTTTCTAATAAATCAGACTGTTTCTTATTCATACTGTGGGTGGCTTCCACCATTTGCCTCAGCCGATGGAGAACCCCTGACAGACAGCAATGGCGCTGTAGGAATTCTGCCAGCTGGCACAGGGCAAGCTGCCGCCTCTCCACGACCTGGCTGGCCTCCTCGAACAGCTGGAAGCAGTCCTCCGCCCTGCCCTGGAGGAGGTGGAGGTCCTCGGAGCAACCGAGAGAAGCCAGCTTTGCCAGGTGGCCCTGCACATTCTTCATTTCTTCCTGTTTGCTTCCCACTGCTGCTGCGTGGTCCTGGACGGGAAAGAAAGTTGTGGATCCGTCAGTTATGCTATGGTTTACACCACAAATAGATTACAGGATTTGTGACGTCAAGTCAGGTTTTCAGTGCAGTGAGCAGCATATGGTAGATATTATGCATAATATAAAAATAAGGAAAATCCAAAATTATAAATTGCTTTTGGAGCTCTGGTGGCCTAGTGCCTAAGGCATTTGACTGCTAACCAGAAGGCTGGCAGTTCAAACCCACCAGCCACTCCTCAGAAGGAAGATTGGGCAATCTACTTCTGTAGAGATACTATCTCAGAAACCCAAGGAGGGGTCGCTATGAGTTGGAAACAACTTGACAGCAGTGAGTGAGTGAGTGAGTGAGTTTAAATTGCTTTTAAGCTAAATGGTAATTCAGTAAAAATATAGAATTAAGTCCTAGAATTCAGTATAGGTTTTCAGCATTGGTACAAAATAAACTAAGTAGATTAAAAATCAATATTTTTTTATCACTTCACCCAGAAAACATCTGCTCCACTATGAAGAAACTGTCTTAAGGGGGTGCTTCTTTTATCTGATGTGGTTTTATCATCTTCATTTATCAGTATAACACACTGCCTAGACCCATATGCACAATTATGAAGACACTGTGTATGAATAACAAATTGTTGTGAGAGTTGTTAGTACTGAGTCTCTGTCATTCTAGAGCTCTCTTTCATGACCAAAGTCTTCAGTGGTGAAAGAATGCACTGTACCTTGTGGCGGATAAGAGCCGCTTGATGGTCTGTTACGCTTATCTCAGAAGTTGCTTGTAATTCACTGAGGAACAGCTTAATCCAGACAGAAAAGGAGAGCAGCTGCTCATCAAACTGCTGGTGTTCGGCAACCACTGACTGGAGCATATGAATCCTATGCAGAGAGAGGCGTTAGAGGTAAAATACTCTGTAAGTGCACAGAAAGGGTTAAGGATATAATTTTGGCATACACTTATCCAAGAGCCAAAGGGATGTTACCAAACCCGAAGTGGGATCTTTTCTAATTTCCAAACCTGTTTCTCTCCTGATTTTCCTCATCTCAGTAAATGCTACCACCAGCCAGATGGTCTTAGGAGCCTCCCATCTGCACCACCACACCAGACCTAGCAGAGTACTGCATCAGCTGCCCCCACTACCACAGTGGGTACTGACTCTGTTCTTGTGCCTCTGTTGTTACTACCTCTGCCTTGGTCTAAGCTCCTTCATCACTCGCCTGGCCTCCAGCAACCTTCCAAATGGGCTTCCTTCCTTCCACCTTCACCTCCCTACAATCCACCCTCTAGGTAACAGTCACAATCATTTTCAATGTCATCAGATCCTTCCCCTGCCATTCGTAAACACTTGAGCAGGTTCCTGCTGAACAGGCAGAACCCATGACCTCCTTCCTGTGATCTCCCGAGGACCTCACACAAGACCTCCTCTGGTTGCCATGTGTTGGACATGAGTAACAGCCACTGGTGTTTGAGGACCCCTGACTTTTGTGACAGCTCTGTTCACACTCACACTCTCCTAGTACCACAGCTCACAAATGCCTTGGTGCCAGGCACTTTTTTCCCCTCTGCCCACATGCTCTGCTCCCAGGGCACTGTGGATCTGTGTCCTGGGCAGCACTCAGATCCTCAATCAGATGGTATCTGCCCCCAGAGAGCCTTGCACTGAACCGCACCACCCTGCAGTCCTTGCCACGTTACCTGATTCTACGTCTCCATAAGACTTGGAACTACCTGAAAAAGTCTTGTTCATTTGTTTAATTGCATACGTATCCTCCCCAGCCCTCTACCTCCCCACACACTGAACTGTAAGCTCCTTGAGAACCAGGATTTCATCTCCTTTGCTCACTACTCTGTCCCTAAACTCATTGCCATCAAGCTAATTCTGACTCATAGGGATTCTATAGGACAGAGTAGGACTGCCCTATAGACTTCCCAAGGCTGTAATCTTTATGGAAGCAGACTGCCACATCTTTGTTCCATGGAGAGGCAGGTGGGTTTGAACGGCTGACCTTTTGGTTCGCACCTGAGTGCTTAATGACTGCACCACCAGGGCTCCTTACTCTATCCTGGTACCTAGAAGGGTGCCTAGGATATGCCTGGAGACCAGCAAATGTTTGGGTCATGAATGAACTGGGTTGCTTAGGTGACACAGGTAGCCTGAAGTCAGAATCCATCACTAGTATTATGAATAAGATCTTAACAAACTATTAACATTCATTACAATGGTTCCTATCCGAAGCTCAACTTTTTTAAAATTACGTTCATGTTTAATCTTTTAAAAAAGACTTCTACACGTTATCTTTTCTTATATTTAGAATGCTTTCATGTATTTGTGTGATTTCAATAGTCCTTTATTTTCCCTTTATGAGCTCAGCAGAGGGCAGATCCTGTTTCACAGAAAATTAGTCATGTTTTGAAAAATTGGCATCATGTCCTTCTGTAAGCCTCTCCCACATTCAAATGTCCCTTCTTTCTGTCCCCACAAAATCTTGCGCTCACCTTTCTCACTGCTTTCCTTGTTAGGCCCCACACTGGTCTGTAATGTATTTGAAGTCAGGAAGTAGGTTTTATTCATTTCTACAGCTCCAATGCCTGATGTGGTGCCTGGCACTCAGCAGGTACAAGATAATCATTTATGGATTGACTGGATAGATGACTGAATGAACAATGGAACAAACACAAGCTCTATGCAAGCACAGAGTAGGGCTCTTTCTTGTTGGTATCTCCAGCACATAGTAGAGGGCTCTGCTTAGTGCAGCATATAATAAATATTTGCTGAATAGAATATATGAATGAATGAATGAGTGAGTGAATGAATAAAATAAAATGGCCAGAATGGTTAAATGCTTTTCTCCAAGATTATATGGGTAGTCAATACTAATTTCAGGAAAAAATTTATTTTCTGGCATATCTGAAAAACATAGATTCCCAATGCTAAGTCATCTAGTTGATGAAAATTTAATCCATTTAAATAAATTATATTATATGTAATGTATAATTATATATAATTGTAATTACTATTTATTGATAAATGATAAAGTAGTAATATATTAATAATCCCCTTGCTCTCTCCAAAGATCTATATTAGAATGAAATGAAGTAGGTGCCATATGTGTGTGTTAATACACACACATATAGAGAGAGGCTGTTGGCTCAGTGCTTAAAGCACTCAAAGGTTGATGGTTCAAACCCACCAGCCACTCCACAGGAGAAAGATGTGGCAGTCTGCTTCTGAAATGATTTACAGCCTTGAAAACCTTATAGGGCAGTTTTACTCTGTCCTATGAGTCAGAATTAAGTCAATGGGAGTTGGGAATGGGGTTGACTATTCATGTGTGTGTGGGGGGTATAAATTCCTTGCACATTGACATGTTTGGTTCCAAGGACAAGGTCGTTGCAAAAATCAACATTATGTGAAAATAGAGGATGACCAAATCAGATCACAAAATGGTGGATAATGAGATAATCAGTAAGGGAGGAGTAGAAGCACATACACAAACACACACACACACACACATGTGATGCCTCTGCTTAGGAGATATGTGATGCAGATTTGGGTTATCAATTTTTTTCCTGTAAACAAACAGCTTTGACAATAAATAGTACAAGCATTAGCAATCATACTCTCCTCAATGTATTTCAACTAGTTTGATCACATGTGCTGATTGTCAGATTAAAATTTTGAATTGAAGTTAGTGAGAAATGTTACCTTCTTGATTTTAAAAATGTCAGGTACTTTTTCCCCTTCTATAATTATCCCCCGAATAGTTAAGTTGAAGTCTAAACAAAACTATTTTCTTAATTTATATACTCATCATTTGAAAACAAAAGGACATTATTAGAAGTTTCAAGATAACCAAAAACCCAACCTCTTGCTAATGATCTGTGGCAAATCTCTCCATCTCTCATCCAGCTGATCCAAATGTAGTTTCACCATCTTCACCTCATCCTTGGAAGTCACTGAGAACAGTGCTTCCTTCAACTGCAGAAGGTTGCTGTAGGATGAGGCCTGGGATACAACCTCATCTTGCAAGGCCTGAGAAAAAAAGAAGACGTCACGGACCTCATCCACGGTGACTGACCAAGGAAGAGCCAGGTGACACAGGTGGTCCTTCAAAGCTTTACATTCTTGTGAAACGATTGTCATCAGGTTCAGGCTAAAAGAGAGGTTTTGTTTTTGTTTTAACTTTCTTTTGAAAAGATTCCACTTATCCTTTGTGATGGGCAGTTTTATGTGTCAACTTGGACAGACTATCATCCCGGTGTTGCTGTGAATGTATTTGATAAATGTGATAAAATCCATAATCAGTTGACTTTAAATAAGGATGATTACACATGCAGACCTCCGAGATATTGTGGGTTCGGTTCCAGACCGCCTCAATAAAGTGAATATCACAATAAAGAGAGACACAGGAATTTTTTGGTTTCCCAGTGCATCTTAAAGTTATGTTTCATGGTACAGCAGTCTTTTAATGTGCAATAGCATTGTGAAGAAGGTTTGAAATATTGTGAGAATTACCAAAATGTGACCCAGAGACATGAAGCGAGCACAAGCTGTTAGAAAAATTGTGCTGATAGACCTGCTCAACACAAAGGTACCACCAACCTTTAATTTGAGAAAAGTGCAGTGTCCATGAAGCACGATAAAATGAGGTGTGAGGGCATCAAATCACATGTGGACATGAGTCACTCAGCTGAAAGGCCTTAAGAGCAGAGATGAGGAGCTTCCTGAGAAAGAAGAAACTCCATCTCTGGGCAGTACCTTTGGCCTTTCCTTTGAGTTCCAGCCTGACCTTCCTGATGGTCTGTCCTACTGACTTCAGACTTGCCTAGCCCGTCCACATGAGGATGTATGTCAATTTCTCACAGTATATCTCTTACTATGTATCTTCTACTGGTTCTGTTTCTCTGGTGGAACCTTAACAGATACACCTATAAAACATGTGACTTAAATCTGAATTATTTTTCCAGACTGAGTTCCATTCAATTAGGCAATTTTAGAAGCTGTGATATTTCTTTCAGGATGAAGAAATTGAGCAGCCTTTTCTATTGCTAAAAAGAATCAAAGTACACTTAACAGTAATAGGGAGGCAATTCTAGCCCACAAGCATGGCCTCCCCGTCTGTTCAGAGACTATCAAACCAAACTCACTGCAGCTGAGTCGTTTCTGACTCACAGCAACCCCTCCTTGGGTTTCTGAGGTAGTATCTCTAAGGAAGTCAATTGCCCAACCTTCCTTCCGAGGAGTGGCTGGTGGGTATGAAGGCTAAAATGGAGAATGTAAGTGCTCTTAACTTTTCTTCCATACAACAGAGCCACTAATTCTTTCATTTAATCAGGCAATGAATCCCGCAAGTGATGTGAGGATTACATATGCGTTTCAGTTCCTACCTAATAAGGCAGAAGATATAAGCACTCAAATAGATAGCCAACAACATGAAATGGGATTAAATAGGATGATAGGTGTAAACTCAGTACAGAGTAGATGCTTATCAAAACGTTTTCTTTTTCTTCCCTAATGAGGTCACGTGTGATGCCGGCAAAATCACCAAAGGTCTCAGGAAGCAGTCAGTCCCCGGCCTGCAGATGAGAGGGGAGACCACACAGCAGCACTGACACTTATGCCGAGCAGAAGAAGAAAGGAACAAGCACACGAGCAAGCCCAGGGGCTGGGAACCTACGGGTACAGCGTTCAGACAACAGCGGAACACCGCATGTGTCTGCGGGAAAGGAGAGCTTCGCTCTCTCGTGGTCCTCTCCCGTGGACAACACTGACTGTCCAACGTGTAGAGACACACAGAAACACAGTTTTATATGCCAGATATCTCTGTGTCTATGCCTTCTCATTTTCAAAGATAGGAAGGAGCTGGGCCTTCCCCTATTTATAAGAAGAACCAGATGTGGACTGAGGAGTTTGATCTTGATCCTCAGACACAGTCACTGTAGGTTTCTGAGCAAGTAACTAATACAATCAAAGGAACTTTTGTGAAGACCAATGCTAAAAATTCAGGTTTAAGGCAGAAAGTAGGAGAATCAGGATGATGGGGTACCCCCAATGTAAAGAAGGAAAAAGTCAAAGATGGAGCAACAATGCTACAGACACCCTCCCACGGAGTTTTTAGAAAAGCAATTATGAGAAGTAAAAGGACCTTGCTTCCTCCTAACTGTCTCATGAAGGTGATAGAATAAAGTTGAGGTGTAAATCTTTAACATAATAAACTCCTCTGATCAGTAATTGTGCCTTTTCAATTTTCTGTCACAGATATCATCACTTAAAGCAATTTAAACTCCAGAAATCAATAGTATTACTTGTTTAAAATGATAGCTTCTTTCCAAGATGTAGTAAACTAGTTCTCTTGGTCTTTTGATCTAATATCTTTAATTGCACTCATTCATTTTTCTATCTTGCTTGAAAATAGTTATTTACTGTGACTTCTTCCTACACTGGATTGTTTCTCTCTCTCTTTTAAAACCCTTTTTATTCCATAAAAAGATCATATCAACACCAAAGTAGAGAGAATACATCCATCACCCAGCTTCAAAAAACACAGCCCACTCTGTCCCACCTACATCCCTACCCATTCTTCACTCAACTCCCCTACCCCAAGAGTGTTTATTCAAATGCCTGCCACCAAGTGAGGATTTTCTAGTACATCCCAGAAAGAGATCATCACAAAGGTCACCATGACTTTATCTTTCAGGCCAAGGTGGCTCTCTTCAGAATAGCTTCCATGAAATGATGCTACAGGGCTCACAAAACCAGAGCAAGAAGTAAGTTGGATCGAGGTCAGTTTGTTTATAATGCATCCATAGCAAAGACCATTTAATTGTCCTCCTCACCCTTTCATGAACTTGCCTGTATTAATTGAAGTTCACCCTCCACTTTGACTCTGTCTGCAGAGATGTCTGGGGAACTGGCTATAGCTTCACACCGCTCTAACCAGGTCAGGAATGTTGACAGTTCTTTCTCTAGTCTAAGGAAGCAAAGGCAAGAAATAAATTCATCAAGAATGATCATGTGAAAGTCAGAGGGTGCAACACCAACCATCGTACAGACGACAGTGCTGGTTACCTTCTTCCTAGATGGGAAGCTACAAAACCACTCTTTCCATTGTTGCATACGTACTTGCACACATGTGTTTATCTGTGTAGTATGTAAGGACGCACACATACTCTTTCCACCTTAGGAATCTTCATCTTACAATGAAGACTGACAAGATCATCTTATAGTAGACATATGAGTTCACATCTCTTGCATAGGGGATAATTATTTTCCATCACTAAATAACAGCGAGGCCAGCATTTCCACTGAATACTAGCTATTGATGCCCATGTTGCCCATAGTGGTCCAGTGGCAGAATCCTTCCCTTCCATGCGGAAGACCCAGGTTTGATTCCCAGCCAATGCAACCCGTGTGCAGCCACCACCCACCTGTCTTGTGTGTTGCTAACTAAGATGCTGAACTAAGACATAATAGGAAGAAAGGCCTGCAGACCTAAATCTGCCACCGATCGTGGGGACGGTGCAAGACTGGGGAGCTCTTCACTCTGTCATGGATGGGCTCACCATGGGTAGGCCTGCTTTGCCCCTGACTCCCTGGTAGCTAACAACACCGAACGGCAGGCCGCTCACCTCTGCCAGTGGGCCAGGCGGCTCTCCAGGGCGGTCTGTCTGCCCTTCGCCCTGCTCAGTAGCCCCTCGTACTGCCGCTCCACAGCCACTGCCTCCTGAGCAGCAGAGTCTCTGGCCATGACCTTGCGAGCACTGGCCGAGAAGGCAGTCACTGTGCTGTTCAGAGACTCCAGAGCCTGACAGAAGTCCTACAAAAGGTGCAGAGGGAACAGAATGAAAAAGACCAGCGTCAAAGGACGGCACCTACTGTTTTTCATCGAGCGGCATCATCGCAAAACTCTTCCCTCGGACGTAAATCTCCAGTGGCACCAAAGAATGCCTCTGCCCATGATATTCAGCAAGACAGCAAGAGTGAGGGAACGTTCCTCCATGACAGCAGAAACAAACAATGGGAACAGAGAGACTATTCCCTAAATACGAATGTGCTGTCACACGTCTGAATAATGTCAACTTTCTCTTAACAAGTTGGATAAGTGGTGAAAATTATTATTACTTCTATGCTAAACAGATTTAGTACTTTAACAAACCTAATTCCTAATTTATAAAAGGTACATTTAACATCCTAGAAACTCTTTAAAACTATATGAAAAGGATTATCACTGAAATAGCTGCTGTCAGGAATCAATAAGAATGATAGTAATAGAGTGTCGCAGCGTGTGCCTGGTGCTGCATTATGTATACAATATGTATTCACTCACTCAATCCTCACTAGGAAGCGTAGAGGCATTTCTTTCATTTACAGATCAATCAAAGCAGAAAAACGTAACTTGCGTTAGGAAGTCCAAATACTAAAAAGAATAGAATAGTATATTCTCTACTACTGAATTGGGGCAGCTGGGTGGTACAGCCACTTAAGGACTCAACTACTAGCCAAAGAGTTAGTGGTTCAAATCCACCCAGAGGGACCTCGAAAGAAAGGCCCCGTGACCTGCCTCCAGAAGGTCACAGTCTTAAAAGCCTGTGGAGCAGTTCGATTCTGCACAGGTGGGGCCACCCTAAGTCAGAGTTGACTACATAGCAGTGGTTCAGAGTCCGGAAATGCTAACTTAGTCGTCTAGTAAAACAATTTCATTGAATTCAATTTTCCAAACTTTTCCTCATTTTTTGTATATTTATAAAAATTACCTAAGTAATGCGAAAATGCATTCTCCTTACAAAAGGTTCAAAGAATTCACTGCCACTACCCTTTCTAGAGTGCCTTTGTCAATGGTTTGACTTCTGTCACTGCTGTCCCCTTTCAGTACCCACGTCTGTTTATGCAGTATGTGCACACGCCACAGATTAAACTATTTATAAATTAGTAATTAACACCTGTTTCTATTTAGAACATCTTTGGGCTTGACTCTGTCTACTTTGCCCCCTCCCTGAATTCTGCTGGACCTACATGTGTGTGCTGTTTTGTGGATGGTCTCTCAAGGGTCACCTGCTGAGGGACCTGACTAGAAAAGCCAGCCACTAGCCAGGGGTCACTAGCTAGAGATGACATCACTTTTGCACATCAGAATTGTGCCTTAAAATCTAAAATCTGCGACACACCTGTCTTTTTTTCTTACATATTTAGTTTTTTAAAGTTCATGCAAGAGAAAACTGAATAGGAAAGGTTGATTAAAACCATAATCTGAAATGTCACATGTTCAAATTCAAAGAAACATTTCACATTTAAATATTCATTTGATTGAAAATTCTCATGACAATTCACTTGCCATACTTACATTTCTTAAGTCACATGATGTGAATACATTTGATGCATATAATGCTTTGTTGTTGTTGTTGTTGTTATGTGCCGTCAAGTCGGACCCAACTCATAGCGACCCCTCCTTGGGTTTCCAAAGCAGTATCACTACGAAAGTAGACTGCCCAACCTCCTTCTGAGGAGTGGCTGGTGGATTTGAACCGCCAGCCTTCTGGTTAGCAGTCAAGTGCCTTAAGCACTATGCTACCAGAGCTCCCATATAATGCTTTAGCTAACATAAAATCTTCTCCCTTTTAAGTCTCATAAAACTATTGACTGTGTTTTCTTTTCAAGCAGTAATCATCAACTGTCTGAGTTGATAAATAAATAGAAATGTTGAAGCATACTTTACCATATGTTCTTGGAGAACTCTGTACGTTTCTGTAGCTGAAGAACATATTTTAATTGGATCAGCAAGTTTATCTTCAAATTCAGACACAGACTGCTGGATCTAAAACAATGAACAAATATAGTGGTGAGAAAAAAAATGCAACAAAAAAAAATAGTATTGGAGAAGCAGCATGACTCCTTTTTTTTTTTTTGGCAGGAGGTGGTAATTTTAAAATGTGTTCAAATGTATTTTTTTAAAAAATATAAAATCAGTATCTCTCATTATTTGAAAGGAATGCAATTAAGCCTCCATGTCCCTCTGAACACAATATTCTTGTATTGCTTCCAAAAAAGTGCCATATAAATAATTATAAACTTAGTCATCATTGACAGTTTGACTGATTACTGATACATTGCATCTTTTCCTTATTCCAGAGTTTCTGGACTAACTGTTACAATTCTTTATAAAGACCATGTGAAATAGATCGCCTTCCCATGGGTGGACCAACCCCTACCTTCCTCAGGTTCTCTTCAAACTTTTGCTGTTGAGACAGATGTCCCAGGAGAGTTCCCTCCAGGCACTGGGCATGCTCTCGGAGTTCTTCCCAGTGTCTTCTGACTTGTGTCAACTTGGCCTTGATTCGAGCAGATTCCCCAGTGGTAATAAACTGAGCAAAAGACTGTGCTGCTTCTTCTAATCCTAGAATGCTGCCAAGCTTACTTTCTATTTCCTGAATTGTGACCTAATATTTAAGACAAGAAAAATGACAACGTAGCCTGAGCAAGCTGGCCTTCCTGAAATGGCATAGTTATTTGTAGAGAAACGACATCAGAAACATTCTCCATAACTGACTTTTCAATATATTTGGACCATTAGAGAGTGGCTATGAACAATACCATGGGTTTTGGGCTTCGCTTAGAAAGGACAGACAGCAGACAGTGTCTGCGAAATACAAGTTGATGGTGCTCATGCCCACTGGCCGGAGAATGAAGGGAAGTAACTGCTCCTGCCTGCAGGGAAGGAAGCAGGAAGCAAGTCTGGAACTCCCCTGTATCTCTGAGAACACAGAGGATTGCCTCTTTACCCCATGTGTCAAGCAGGATGTTGTAATAACTAACAGAAATGCTAATGTGACATTCATTTCATTTTTCTAAAATGCAGGTGAGTATTTCACGTTCTATAAAACTAAAATGTATCTTCAGATTTCATTCCTAGCTAAATCAGCCTTTTGAAATCTATCATCTACTCTTTATGCTAGTGTATTCCAATTTTAAAATACATCAGAATCACCTGGTCTCCACCCCCAGATTCACTGCAATAAGTCTGGGAGCGCTCTGAGAATTTCCATTTCTGATGGATCAGCAGGTGATGCTGATGCTGCTGACCCAGGGGCTCCTTCATTAGCTTCCGCATCTAAAGTAAAAAGCCTGTATATACTCTACTGGGACAGAAAGGGCCCGGTACATATTAAGCAGTACATGAAACCACTGATGGCCACTAAAGATGTGCGTGCGTGTGTGTGTCTGTGTGTGAATGGTCTGTCATAAATACAGAGGTCCATTTATGTACAAAGGCATGAAAACTAGTTTTCTAGGAAAAGGGTCCAATCAAAATAAAGCTAAAAATCCAGACAACTACCAATTAGATAATTATTTAAATGGAAAATACCCATATCCTAGAGAAAAATGATTTTGTGATTTTTGCCTAGATGACACAGCCTAGCCAGCAATAACTTCTGTTGAGATGAGACAATCAGAAATGACTTAGGTCAGCGAAGTGCCACGCATGGACTACTCATTTGTATTTTTCACAGGCACAACTACACCAGTGTATCTCAAAGATATTTGGTATTTGAGCATCAACACCATCCCTCAGTGTATTGCTCTTTTTTATGATTTTTAAAAATTATTCACAAATTCAAAAAATATTGAGCATTAACTATGTGCCAATAATTGTTTTAGGTTTTTTGACACACATCTGTGAAACATTCTTAGTTATGAACAAAGTTCTTAGTTCTTAGAAAAATGGATGTCATCAATCAGTTCATAAATACCAATATTATACTGTTGGGTTGTGGGGAAAAAAAGGTGGACGATGAACATTGATATGTCCTAGACATCATCAATGAGGCATAAGGAGCCAGTCAATTTGGGGTAACATATAGTGAAGACCTGGGGCCGGCGTGACAACAGCTCACAATAATTAGGAAAAAGGGTTGGGCTTAGAGTACTCATCGTCACAAAAGTAAATGCTTCATTAATGTTAATCCTAAAGGAACAGACTGTAACAAGTGTGAATATATTTTTAATATGTCCCATGAAAGAGTCTTCTGCTTGGAAACAGAATATGAATCTATCAGACCAAATTCTATTCATAACATACTGCCCTATGTCTGTGCCTTTTTCTAGCAAATACCTTTTTACTAGTATTGATATTCATTTTATATATTATATATTTTTAGACAGCTTTCAAGGTGGCATTTTGGACATAGTAAGATGTATTTCTAGTCTCGTGGGGTGAAAATGTGTAGTTGAAAATGTGCAATTCTTTCCCTTAAGAGTAACAATGAGAGGGCATTTGATCATTGGTATATTTCAGAAGTCCCAGAATAAAGGTTAAAATAACAGTCAATAAATTATAGAAAGGCTGAAAAGCTCTTGTTCAATTTCAAGAAAAGGAAAATTTTGAGAAAAAAATTTAAATCTGCTATTCATTTTTTTTTCTTAGAATTTAGTAGAAATAATTAAATGGCAATTTTAAAAAAACGTTTAAAGATCACAAACATTGATTGAACTAAGATTCTTTAATGGCTCTAATCTATCCTTCCTCATATAACACAAAAGACTTAAGCAGACAGCATATACCAGACCGCATAGATCCTTGATTATACAAGATGTGTGATAAGCAAGGATAATGGAAACTGTCTAATCTTGGCTATAAAACACGGTACCCTCCCACCAGGCACATGGTGATAGCTTGTTCTGAGTCACACTGTGAAATGTTCCCTCACCTTGGTACTTATCTTACTATATTTAATCAAATGAAATGGCAGAGGGTTTTCCCATTCCAAAGAAAATGAACTGTGATAGAAAAAGAAGTGGTTTTATTTTGAAAATGTGCTGTGTGAAAAATGTACAACAGAAAGAAAGAGAGATGAACACAGCCCATTTCTTTCAGGCACACAGTTGCACACTGTCTGAATAAAGTGGATGAGGAGAGCCCCTCCATGTGGCTAGTTTAGAGATGAAAGAGCTAAACTCTCAGAGTATCTCAGCAGCTCATGGCCAAGGTCATCATAAATAAAGACATAAAAGCAAGTGTCTGATTGCTTCAGCTAAAGAAAATAATTTCTTGAACTCCTTGTAGTCGGTTTGGGTAAATACTACCAACTCTTGAGCTAGACATTTGGAATGTTCTTAAAAGTGTATACTTGTAGATAATGATTGTATTTCACGTCGTACCAATGAATCAACAGAGCTCTTCAGTGGGGATAGTGCAAAATCAAGGAAAAGAATAATGTAAGCATAAAAAATATTTTAATGGTATTGCACACAATATTGACTTTGAATGCGGAAGCCAGACAATATGGAGACATAATTCCATCTATAAAGTATTGCCCAGTATCAATCAAGACCTCTTAGCTCAGTATTTTATGTGAATTTAATTTTAATAGGGTCATATAGCACTGAAAGATTTGTCCTGGGGCCAAATAGCATTTGGTAAGAGGTAGGAAAGGAGTCCTTAAAAGCTATTCATGGGTCAGATATGTAACATGTGAGCAGGTCACCTTAATTTGGCTGATTTGCACGTCCAAAGCCGATGACGAACTTTCCAAGGCATTGAGTTCTTTTTCTTTCTCAGTTATCCAGATGGACAGGGTCTCAAAATTACTGCCAAAATGATCCCACTTGCTTTTCACCATTTCCATGGTTTTAATACTAAAATTAACCAAATTAAGTAAACAAAATGCAGTAATTTAATAGAGAGCAACAATACAGCGTTCTTTAAATCACCAAGTGAAAAGCTTGTGAAGACATTTGTGACCATTTCAAAGTTGAAACTACTTGACTAGAAAAAAAATGCACATTTGATGTGAGTAATTTTTCAGGCCTCAAGTCTCCCTAGCAACTCTGACAACGAACTTTGAACAGGGAAGTGTCTACGATATGATGTGAATAGAATTATGCTTTGAAGAAAGAAAATATTGATGGGTCCAAAGGCAGTCGAGTGCAGGAATCAACTAGTTCAATGCTGCGTGTGGGCCCACAGTGCCAGGACTAACTTGAACACACTGTTCCAGAATAGATTTTAGTGCACACGACTTTCTAGAGGTCCTATTTTTGTAGACATGTATCATCTTGCTCTCAAGGAGTGATACTGCAGTGATGTTTGACACCAAAAGATCTTTATAAAATGCATCTTTGTGAAGGAAGATAAAGCTTGTGGCTGGAATACCAGCGAGCCATGCAGGAACTCCAGCATTAGAGCTAAGCCTGTAGCTTGTAACTGGTTGTGACGTCAGCTACTCAGATATTTGTACTGCCCTGACTCCAAAAGCCTTTTCTAACTTCTTGTACATGAGCACCCTAACTGCTTTAGGGCAACTGGGGCTATATTTGTATTGAGCCTAGTGAACAAACTTCCAACAGAGATTCCTAGTTTGTACTAGCTATGCACATTTAACCAGGTGAATATGGCTTATATTTCAGAAAATGACTAAGAAACCAACAATTTGTCACTTAACACATAACTCCTTGTGTTTTAAAAAGAAATGGTGGGCATGCGGGAAAAGAATGTCCCTATTTACCAAAAGGCACTTGATGACATCACAAAAAGTGCAGTCATCATTGATTGTCAAATTAAAGAGTATTACAGTCTCGAATGTATACCCTGGGTGTGCCTGATGCTCCCAGGAGCGTAGGTAATGAAAATTACAACTTTTAAAATAAATAAAGATTCAAATGGCTATTGCTAATAAAAATGGCTTCCTTTCTAATAAACTCTAAGTTTTACAATGTGCATAACTTGACAGAGAGTATTTAATATAAAATCCTCAAAGTTTCAAGTCATATCTTACTTTAAATAAGTTATCAAAGTTTAAAGTTTAGGGAAATGTAAAATGCTGATTTTGAGTTGTTATTATTGTTAAAAACATTTAACATTTTAAAACCCATCTTAGAAATGATGTCCTATAGCTTAAGAATAATATGCTATTGTACGTTGGTGTCTTGCCATTATTTAAACAAAATAACCTTTTAAAATAGAAATGTTTAGCCATCTTATTTCAAGGAACATTTGTCACATCCTCAAATGTTTATTCCTTCCAAATTCTTTGTGTGCATATTATTTATATAACAGGCTACTAGTAGGCCAAACTATTCATTCTTTCTTTTTAGATAAACAAACATTAAAAGTTTAAAACAGAATAGAATTTTGAAGATAATTTCTGGATGTAGCATGTGAACCTGTGGCATTCTGGATTTTGAGGCACTACAGACTAGCTCTATGGGCTTCCTGAGGTTGGGGACATTTGGTCTACATGATACGTATTTAGGCCTAGAATCTACACAAACAAAGTATCTCCCCTTCTCTGTACCTAGTGACAGTAAAATAATACAGTAACAAAATATTTTAAATATTAGTTCCTTTGTGAGATTCCCTCTACAATATACAAAGGCCACAGAATTTAATAGATATGCAAAAATCACATCCCTTCTATTTTGTTGTTTTCCACATACTTTCTTTTGAATTATGGGTTACTTCCTCAAAACATGCTGAAAGACACACACACTTTGAGATGTTAAAAGAATGCTTGAATACAATATCCGGGAAACATTGTATTTAACTTTATCTCAGAGAAGAAACTTAGGACTTGTCAAGCACATACTCTTCTTCAAGTGTGTCTTCTAGTTTTTTGACTTGGTCTTTGATTGACTTGGCCTGCTGTTGGAGCAACTGCTTATTCTTAGGCCCAAGTGGTATCTCTGAGGCTTCCTTCACAAGGTTGTCAGCCTGAACTGCAATACCTTCTGTCCGTTTAGAAAACTCCTAGAAAAAGAGATCACAATTGTTACGAGGCATTTTGTATTAACCTTTCCTCAGAGCAATGGGCTATACTTCAGAGACTTCTCCAGGATGGACAGATGGGTGGGTGACTGGCTGGATGGAGGAATGAATGGATGGATGGGTGGGTGGGTGGGTGGATGGATTCAGATATGTATGGATCTTAAACTCTTCTTGGCTAATAAAACTGACTTATTTTCATCATGACCACAATACATATTTTGTTAAATTATTTTCATTTTACCAGCTATGTACTTGCATAGTTAGCCAACAATTCTCACAAAAATGTTCTCTCCAGTATTTCTTGATTGTAGTTATTGTTTAGGATCCTGAACTATATTATGATAACTAACTCATCCACAATCATGTGAGTTTACTATGGGCCAGTTCATGCAAAAATCACCAGTGAATGATTCTTTCAATTATAGAGGAATAGATTTCTAGGCCAATGAATATAAAGATCTGTTAATTTAATTGATGAATGTCTCAGTTAATAAAGAATAATGGTGATCTTTACTATATGAAAACATTTGGTTAACTAGTTCTCAGAAAAGCATATAATGTGATCTTAAAGCTGTTCAATTTGTTTTACTAGATATGCACACAATACATGATGAGAAAGGAGCTTGGGTGGTGCAATGGTTGAAGTACTTGGCTGCCAAAGGTCAGCAGTTCGAACCTGCCAGCTGCTCTGTGGTAGAAAAATGAGGCAGTCTGCTTCTGTAAATATTTACTGCCTTGAAAACCCTATGTAAGCAGTTCTATTCTGTCCCATAGGGTCACTCTGAGTCAGAATTAGCTCAATGGCTAGGGGTTTGGTTTTTGGTTTGGCATAAGGGAAAAAGAACACACTTCGAAACAGTCAAACCTACACTGGAACCCTGAATCTGCGCAGTAGTAATTGTTTGACTTTGGGTGAATTACTTAACTGTTCTGTGTCTTTCATGTAAAATGCAGACGATAATGCTTTTCATATAAGATTACCCTTAACACTTCATATCATTTCATTTTGAAGTGTCTGAGAATCTGGCATGTACCCAATATTGTTTTTTATTTACCTTAAATAAAATTAAAGACAAAACAGTTCATAAAGTTTCTAAATCAACTTTCAATAATGATAATAATTTTCCATAATGACTTAATATCTAGGAGCCCTGGTGGCACAAAGGTTAAGCACTCAGCTGCTAGTAGAAAGGCTGATGTTTCGAACTCACCGAGCCGCTCTGCAGGAGCAACACCTTCCAAGCTGCTATTGTAAAGATTACAGGCAAGAAAACGCTATAGGGTAGTTCGACTCTGTCACACGGGGTCACGATGAATCGAAAATTGACAGCACCCAACAACAACATACAAATGTACATCCAGTAAATAACTTTTAATTCAAAAATTAGTTTAATACATATGTGATACTGGTCAACTTTTGTTGTTATCTGAATGTTGTAAGGGAAATACAATATAAAAAAAGGGAAATCCAGAGATAATCTTGAGTTAAGAAAATTAACTTAGTGTCTTATTTCTTTTCTTCTAAGAGAATCTCACAAGAGATTTGTTTAAATTTCCCTCTCCTGAATAGGTGACATAAAAAGCTAATGGAAGTGACTCTGAAAAGCTCAGATACCTAACAGCCATCTTTAGGGCATCTCCCACAATTATGACAGAATGCCACGTAAGATAGAGATACTACATGATACTGCTGAATCTTCATGTCTGAAAAGACATAATGTTCTCATAGAAATAACAATGTTAATTCAGTGAAGTAAACTGCAATTTGGGAAAATAAAAACGATTAAGTACATCTTCCTTATGGTATAGAGACTTATACTATCCCCAATTGTGGTATGTGCTACTGTCACAGCATTAAATTCTGTGGTTAGAAGCACCCTGCTACTATATGTGAGTCTAGCAAGATTACAGATTGAATTGTGAACACTGAATCATGGCATAATCTATCAGAATCCCATGAATAGAATCAGATTTGTAGAAGTATTTTTCCTCCCAGTATTTCCCCAAAAAAACACCCAAATCCATGGTCATCCAGTTGTTTCTGACTCACGGGGACTCAATGTAAGTCAGAGTAGAACTAACTGTGCTTTATAGGGAGGGTTTTCAATGGCTGATTTTTTGGAAATAGAGATCACCAGGGCTTCTTTCCAAGGCATTTCTGGATGGGTTTGAACCCCTAAACTTTTGGTGAGTAGCACAGCATTGCCCATTGGCATCACCCCAGGAATTCCAGTATTTCCCAGTACCCAGAAAAAACATGGAGAAAGTAGAGTTGTGTTTGAAAAGGATATATATATACACACACACACACACACACACACATATATACATACATATACATATATATACATGTATATATGTGTGTGTGTATATATATATATATATATATATACACATATATACACATATATAAAATTAAACTCACTGCTGTCGAGTCGGATCTGACTCACAGTGACCCCTCCTTGGGTTTCTGAGGTGTTATCACTACAGAAGTAGATTGCCTAACCCTCCTTCCGAGGAGCAGCTGGTAGGTTTGAACTGCCAGCCTTGTGGTTATCAGTCAAGTGCCTTAGGCACTATGCTACCAGAGCTTATATATATATATATATATATATATATATATATATATATATACACACACACACACACACACACACATACACACACACATTATATACAATCAGTGCTCACAGAAGCAGAAGCCAAGAAATCACAGGATGTGTTGCATTTGGCAAATCTACTGCAAAAGACCTTTTTAAAGGGCTAAAAAGCAAAGATACCACTTTGAAGACTAAGGTGTGCCTGCCCTAAGCCATGGTATTATCAGTTGCTTCATATGCATGTGAAAGCTGGACAATGAATAAGGGAGCGGAGAAGAATTGATGCATTTGAATCATGGTGTTGGTGAAGAATATTGAATATACTGTGGGCTGCCAGAAGAACAAACAAATCGCCTTGGAAGAAGTCCAGTCAGAATGCTCCTTAAACGTGAGAATGGCAAGACTTCATCTCTAGTGCTTTAGTCATGTCATTAGGAGACACCAGTCCCTGGAGAAGTATATCATGCTTGGTAAAGTAGAGGGTCAGTTCAAAAAAAAAAAAAAGAGGAGGACCGTCCATGAGGTGGACTGACACAGTGGGTACAATGATGGGCTCAAGCATAGCGATGACTGAGAGGCTGGCACAGGACTGGGCAGTGTTTTGTTCTGTTGTACATGGTGTCACCATGAGTTGAATCTGACTCAATGGCACTTAACAGCAATAACAACATACATTTAATTTTAGAACCTTCTGTGTGTTATGTGGGGGGGGGTAAAACACAATGCAGAGAAATTGAAAAAACAGACTCTTGCTATTCTTGTTGGGTGCCATCAACTCGGTTCCGACTCATAGTGACCCCACGTGACAGAGTAGAACTGCCTCAAGGTTTTCTAGGCTGCAGTGTTTGTAGGAGCTGATGGCTGGGTCTTTTTCCCACAGAGCTGCTGGGTGGGTTCAAACTGGCAACCTTTCGGTTAACAGCCAAGTGCTTAACTGCTGCATCGCGAGAGGCTCCTGAAGAACAAAATAATTTTGATAAAAACAAAATTTAACAAAAGCTAGAATAGCCTTGTAAGCTCTATGCCTAAATCCTAGACATGTGAGTAGTAGCAGGATGTGTCAAGAATTCTCTGGTATCAGATAGATCTGGAGTTAAATCAGGTCTGTCCTTGACCTAGGAGCTCTGGTAGCGTAGTGCCCAAGGCATTTGACTGCTAACCAGAAGGCTGGATGTTCAAACCCACCAGCCACTCCTCGGAAGGAAGACTGGGCAATCTACTTCCATAGTGATACCGCTTTGAAAACCCAAGGAGGGGTCGCTATGAATCAGAATTGACTCCACAGCAGCAACTTTGGTTTGGTTTTGGTCCTTGACCTTGAATCACATACCCCCCTGAACTTTGATTTCTTCATCAGAAAAGCCATACCTAATTATGAAGATTAAATATGACCTTGCAATGAACACCCTGCGACATGCTAGCATACAGGTTAGTTTCCCATTCCTTAGTGCAACCACACAAGTTCTACCAACTGCCATGAAGACTGTATGGATAACAGAAAGTGCCAGAGACATAGAGGAGAACATTTATTCCAGATTATATGTTGTGCTTGTGAATTTGTGACTCGTTTCCTTACAAACCTTCAACGACGTCAGTTGCCTAGAGAGCCATGCTGTAGGTTTTCAAGACTCTGTGATGTGGCCCATCTTTCCTCTGGAACTTCACTTCTCTTGATGTAATCAATAGAAACAGAATTCCTGTATTTAGAACCTTCACACCTCATGCCATTTCTCCTTTCCAAGAATGCCCTTTCTCTGCCTCAAACTCTGTTTTTCTTAGTCTTATCTGGCTTTTACATTTCCACTAAAAATATCCTTCCCTCCAGAAAGATGTTTTAAAATCTATGTATGTGTAGGGCACTAATGATTTCCCAGTTTCATGAAAATGTTCTCTTATTTCTCGATGCTTCAATCATATATGTACATGTTTCCATTTCCCTTGGCAACTAGACCAGTGCTTTGAAAAGAGTTAGCCATCAATAATATGAAGTATTGCTTAAACCAATGATAATAAACAGAGTGACAGAGTAGAAAGAGAGCTTCCTTCTGAATAAGGAGCACCAAGGGATGAGAGGGTCATACTGGTATACCTTGGTCTGTTCCAGTTCTGAAGATAAGCTTTCCAAACTGCTAAAGCTCAAGAAGCGTTCATGGTTGGAACCTGTTTGGAAAAGGTATCTGACTACCGTCTCTTTGTTTGTTTCAAATCTCTCCCATTTTCTTAGGGTGACCTACATTTGGAAACAAGAATGTATCCAGTTATAAATTACCAAAGTGTGTCAGAAAATATTATCACATTTTCATTCACTGGGAAAGCTACAAACTCCCAGTTGACAATTTGTTCAAAGATCATGCAATCACACTGAGTGATACCTTCTCTAAAGTCCTCACAGAAGAACTTCCTGTCCTGGTCTCAGTGTCATCATTTTCTAACAGAAAGCATATGGTCTGGGTTCTCCACCAGTTGTCACATCCTCTGATCCTAACAACATCACTTTAAATATAGACAAGGGGCAAAGAGGAAGCTTTCCCATCTCCCAGAAAAGAAACGAAGGCAAGCAGGAAGGGAATGAGGGAGACAGGAGGAGAGAGAGCTAAGTGAGCAGGTGGGAACAACTAAAAAGTTGCTTTATTTTTTTAAGGTAATGTGTAAAGGTCACAATAATAAGAACATGCTGCTGCTGCACTTTCTGGAAGACTGGAATGACATCATGTGCATTTCTGGATTCAGCCAAGTGTGGATTTAAATTCTGCCTCTCACTGATCTCTGAGGTGTAACTTTGGGCAAGGACCCTGAATTACAGTCCCCACCTGATACGTCTGTCGGGATGATTAAAATGGGGAACTCAGATAGTCGTGTGACACAGGGCTGCAGCATCAGGGCAAAGGCACAGACCGGCTCCTGCTATTCTCTCCGGTACCCAGGTCGCATGCAGCCCTCTTCCCCGAGCCCAGTGTCCCGGGTCCCACCTGGATGCGGCGCTCCTGCTTCTCCCTGCTGCGCTCCACGCTGTCCAGGGCGCTCTGCAGCTGCCGCAGCTCCTCGTGCGCACGGCCCCGCAGCTCCTCGTGCGCACGGCCCCGCAGCCCCGCGTCTCCCTGCCGCGCCTGCGCAATCTGCTGCTCCACGTCTCTCTTCTTGGCAGAGATCCGCTTCGTCTTTTGCTGGAATCATTTGATCAACAGGTGGGTCTAAATGTTATTCCCTAAGCAGCTAAGCGGAGACATGAATACTCACACTGGAACAGAGGTGCACAAAAGTAGAGCTCCATGCTAGGTGGGTTCACCTGTACCTTAAAATGAAGATTCTGACGCATGGTGACACCACGTGTCACGGAGTGGAACTGCTCCCTAGGTTTTCTTGGCTGTAATCTTTATGGAAGTGGATCGCCAGACCTGCTTCTGTGGTGCCGCTGGGTAGGTTTGAACTGCTATCCTTTAGGTTAGTAGTAGATAGCAAACTGTGCCATCCAAGGACTTTTGTTAAATAATAGGAGGCTTTGTATTAGTCAAAGGAGCCCTGGTAGCAGAGTGGTTAAGGACTCAGCTGTTAACCAAACTATGTCACTGCCTTGAGTCGATTTGACTCATAGTGACCCCTCCTTGGATTTCCGAGGTGGTATCTCTACGGAAGTAGATTGCCCAATCTTCCTTCTGAGGAGTGGCTAGTGGTTTTGAACCACCAGCCTTCTGGTTAGCAGTCAAATGCCTTAGGCACTACACCACCAGCGCTCCCAACCAAACCATAGGCAGTTCTAATACATCAGCCACTGCAGGAAGACGACGTGGCAATCTGCTTCTGTAAATATTACTGCCTTCAAAACCCCATGGGGCTGTTCTTCTCGGTCTTACAGAGTCCCTGAGTCAGAATCAACTCAATGGCAACAAGTTTTTAAACAGATATCTTAATCCAGGATGGATACTCTTTATAACTATTTCATGTTTTCAATGGCAAACAACACAATGAAGTAGGATGTCGTGTTTCACTGTGTATAATTTTAGGGAACATTTAACATGTTTTACAGTATTCCAGAGGAATCTGGCAACACTATTCATTTGACACACTTCTCCTCAAAGAACTACTCCCAGCCTAATAACACAAACTCCCAACTGCAATCCAGGCGACGGCAGCGAGTTTGGTTTTCTTAGACTTTTTATGCTGTATAAATGCTAATATTAGGAGATTTAATTCCTGAGTGAATTCAGAATGATTAATGTGTTGAGATATTTTTGGAAAAGTTGTGTTGTAAAGTAAACTTATTGAAATATCAGGTAAATGCAAAATGGTTCCCAAATCTGAGGTGTATAGCTTACAAAGTTCCACAGCATAAATGTGCCCAAGGAACCAAGCATCTGATCCAAGAAATGTGAAAACAGCTTTAAAATATTAACCTAAATGCCTGTAATCTTATGTTTTCAGACTTAAAACTCAAGCAATATTTTTATAATGATTGAGAACAATGTAACACTAAGCATTAGTATCCCTAGTATTATTATGATTATGATGTAAAGCTCCTTATAAAGCCTACAGGCTGCTATTTGCTACAAATTTATAATGCAACTTCTATTTTTAGATTTTATGAGATGTAAAATTAGCCACCGTTTTGCTACACATTAAATTTACCAATTTTTTTTTCTGTGAAATATTTCATTTGAACAAGGGTTCTATTCATATGGACTTTTATAAGCAACATATACCATTTATGCCCACCAGATTTTCAGGGTTTAAGATGATGAAAATTTTTTATTATCAATGTGTGTACAAGATGTTTCTTACTCCCAGTTCTGATTCTGCATCAGGGCATCCACTCCTAAAAGGTCTAATTACATCACTAAGAGTTTCTCAAAATAAGATACATTCAAAGTTATAAATTCAAGAGAGACATATTCACAGGACAGAAACACACTGATCTCGGACATGAAAAAATAAGTCCACCTGGAGGGTTTTCTTATTATTATTCAAAGGACGTCTTGGCAAGTTTCATGCAGGTTTTCACAAAGTTAAACCAATTTTCCTTCCCCAATTTCCCTGAGTTTTTGATATCAATGGGTCATGCAGTCTGACAATTTATTTTTCAGGATCTTCTAAAATAATTTAATATTTCACAGAGAGAACAGAAGTACTGAGTTTTCTTCAATCCTTTTATGAGGTCTCCCCATCCACCCAGGGAATACACAGGTCATCTCTCTGGATCTGTCAGTAACTGGCGAACTTTACACACAAGCATGAGGGTCAAGAGGCCTTGTACCTGGTGATGAAGGAATAACTGCTGTGCTTCAAAGAGATTTTCAGTGTCCAGGATCTTCTCAGCTTCCTCCTGAACTTCTTTGGAGCCAGAAATTAACTCTCCAAGGGAATTTTGTACGATTTCTTTGTACTGGACACAGTCCCCAAAGTTGCTTAACATCTTTTCCACCTATATTTTCGTGAAAAAAAAAAATACAAAGCATATACTATTTAATGAATTTCATGTGATCTTAAATATTTAAAGATAGGCAGTTAAAGTCTATCTCAACAACTTATATATAAGTAGTTCTCAAACTTTTATTATTTTACACATTTGAGGTTATTTAATCATTGCTAAAAGTCACTTATCGCAAGCCTCGTTTGACAGGTTGTCTGTGCTGTATATTAAAAAAAGAAAAAATGGACTGGCAATAAAGCCAGGATAAGGAAAACATATGTCATGTTCCCTGGGTCCCTATTACTTCAATCCATGACTAAACCATAATTATGAAACTCAACTTTTATGAGAAAGTTGAGTTCATCTTATTTAAAATAAATAGGAAAAAAAAATAGAGAGGAATAAGAAAAGAATGAAACAGTATGTATTCAAAATGCATTGCCCTATTTCTACATAAAGCTACAGTGTTAATTGCTCATTGTATGGTTATGTAGTTGATTCTTTTACTTGTCATCTTCCTAAATTTGCAGCCTTCATTCCGGCCTTTCTTCTGACTCCATCAGTACCATTTTCTTCCTGTCCAGCCCTATCCATCTTCATTAACTTCATCTACTTTCACCATCATTGGTCTTCAACATAAGCCTCCCAGTTTTTCTTTCTCTTATCCTATTTTTTCTCTTTGACCCTTCTATAATCTGATCTGTACAAAGTAACTTAGAGCATGTTGCTCACCAAAGTCCTTGTGGAAACCATAAATTCTAGATCTTGGTAAATCATCTGTTCTGCTGAAATAAATTCACATAATTGTGATTTCATGCACGGCCTTTTTCCATAAAAGACAGTTTGTCTTCAGCATTAGTTTACTACTAAATGGATTTTAATCAAAAGAAAGGGATGCATGTGTCCATCCACCTCCCCTCCCTCCATTCTCTCTTTGCTTTCACTAAGTGAATAATTAACAAGAAGGGCATTAAGATAAATTATGTGGAACTTTAAGATGTTGTTGTTGTTGTTGTTATTTGCCCTCAAGTCAGACCCAACTCATAGCAACCCCTTCTTGGGTTTCCAAGGCGATATCACTATGGTTAGCCTTCTGGTTAGCAGTCAAATGCCCAACCTTCCTTCCGAGGAGTAGTTGGTAGATAAGTGCATAAAGAACTGATAACTACATAAGCATTTGTTAGTGGTTGACTGTAGCTACAAGCCCTATGGACAGCATCAGGAGAGTACTTAGAAGATCAAGCAAATGGTGTTGGTAAATGGTAGGCAGATTAATGACATTATTTTAAGGGCTCAAGGAGCTCTTGTAGCCTAGTGCCTAAGGCACTTGACCACTAACCAGAAGGCTGGCGGTTCAAACCCAACAGCCACTCCTCGGAAGGAAGTTTGGGCAATCTCCTTCCATAGTGATACTGCCTCAGAAACCCAAGGAGGGGTTGCTATGGGTCAGATCTGACTTGATGGCAAATAACAACAACAACACCACAACAAGTGAGATAGAAAATATAAATTTATCAGTGTGATTCAAATTATTTCTTAAGCCTTGCATTAAAGGTCATCTGAACATGCATTAACTTTTAAACCATTACCATTACTTGACTTGACCAAGACAAGACTAGAGGAGGCTAGGGGCAAGATTTCATTTAAAGTATGGAGGTGGCAACTAACTAACCTTCACCATTGCCAGGGAAGCTGAATGATCAAAGGACTGAAGTAGCCTGTGTTCCACGATTTGATTAATCATACTACCTTTTTCAATTTGTTAAAAAGCCCTAAGAAAATTTGAAGTTATATATCAAAATTAACTTATAAAGGTAAAATAACAAGTAAAAAAAAAAAACAAATTCACTGCCCTCAAGTCAGCTCCAACTCATAGCAACCCCTCCTTGGGTTTCCAAGGCCCAGTGATGTTAAATGACAAGTTCACGGTCACATAGGAAATCAGTTGTCACAGGAAAATTCTGTCCCTGGCTTTGTTTTACACTCTAGCTCGTGTTCTTAACCTTTGTGATAGACCTCAAACTGAAGTAAAAGTGCTTTTAGTAAAAGAAAAAAAATACGGATTTGCTAAGCATTTTACTTTAAATACAGATTGTTAACCTGAATTAACATACCCATTGTGGCAGAGAACAGAATTTACTCTTCCTGGCCATCTTCTGCACCAATCTTTGTATAAGTTAAGTATCATAACTATTTTCTCTCAACTACAGTTTCTTTGTAAAAGTACTTGTTAATCTATGACCAAGAGAACCTTCCAGATCCCTCACCCAGAACTGTCTGTTTCGAGACTAAGTGAACGATATACCTCTGACAACAAGTTGACAAGAGCCTTAAAGTCATTAGATAATTTTGCCAGCTCGTCTCCTTGCTTTTGGGCTTCCGTCTCAGAAGAAACTTCGATCAGAGTTTTCAGCCTGGATTTCAACCAGCTGAGAGTCTCTCCTTGTTTGGTAACACCATTTCTGATCTCCTAGGGAACATGAAACAACAGGTCCGATGAAAACAAGACAATTGTGAATCGTAGCTTCCCTGCATGAGAAGGTTTACAAGGTGGAGACCAGAAAAGCGGACATTCATTCCCCACTTGAGGGCTTGCTTACTTTCCTTTTGTTCAAATCTTTTACAAAAGTCCACAAGGCGCTTGGAAAAAATGTCTCCCCAATGCCAATACTGCATATATAAAAACAACACTGTCTAGAACAAAAAATTACCTTCACAATCGGATAACTAGATAGTCACAGATATTCTCCTTATGAAAACTAAGATTGCTTCTGAAAGTACTATAGAAGAATATGAGATACCAAATTTAGGAATTATAACATGCAGTGTACTTTGTTATCTCACTTTCAGTGAGCTGGAAGTAACATGGTATATTTGGGGGAAAAAAAATAAAAGAAACTTTTTATTAAGTAGGTAATTTCTTTTACTGAAGAGTTTCCTTGTTAAATGTTGTTATGGGTGCTCTACAAATTTATTTCAGCTTCATTAGCTTATGTTTTCTATCCTACATTAGTTAGCTTTGAGGGACTGGTACCGCAGGCATTAAGGTGTACAGTTTTACCCACCAACACAATGCCAGGAAGACTCCAGGTCTCAGCCCTTGCAGGGCTGGGACTGAGGGAGTGGCCACTGGGGCACTTCTTGCCCTCCTGCACCACGGCTCAGAGGCAGCACGGGGCAGAGGTCCGACCGTGTGTGCGGATACAGAGGCTTTTACAGGGCAAATGCAGCAGAAAACAGTTGGCTCCAGAAGCAGCTGATATTTTCATTCTAAGATCTGAATAGTTTTTGTACTGTAACAGCAACAACAATAGCAAACATACATATCTTGCTATACCCAAAAAAACCAAACTCACTGCTGTTGAGTCAAATCTGACTCATAGTGACACCCTTCCTTGGGTTTCTGAGGCAGTATCACTAGGGAAGTAGATTGCCCAATCTTCTTTCTGAGGAGTGGCTGGTGGGTTTGAACTGCCAGCCTTCTGGTTAGCAGTCAAATGCCTTAGGCATTATACCACCAGAGCTTTTATATTATGGAAACAAACCAGTTGCCATGAAATCAGTTGTGATTCATAGGGACCCAATGTGTTTCAGAGTAGAACTATACACCATAAGGTTTTCAATGGCTGATCACCACGTCTTTTTTTCCAAAGTGGCTCTGGGTGGACTTGAACTTCCAACATTTCAATTAATAGCCAAGCATGCTGAAAGTTTGCACCACCCAAGGAACACCTTTAGAGTTTTGGGAGGTTATATAATTTAGTAGGAAAAATATGATCTTCAGAAGGTAGGGGCAGAATATAAATATATCCTCATTCACTGCAACTATGTGAATTGCAAGAGGCAAAAATGCTGAAAGATAATGTACAGGAGGTCTAGAAACCTCCCAGTCAAAGAGGAAGAGAGGTAATGTGTATCACTCATAGAATGCAAACTGGTTCCGGCCCAGGCGCTGTCAGCCGGCTGGGTTTATCAGGCTGCGCTTAAGCTCAGAGGCTGGGATGAACCAACCCAGGCTGAATTTGACATAGAAAGCATGGTTGGAGACCTTTCCCAACTCCCTGACTTTTTTGTGACCTGACTTTTGAAGAGCTGAATATTTATTGTATAAAAACCTAGTCTTCTTGTTTTCTCTGACAATAGTAAACCTCTACTATGTTATACACCTACATCCATGCATATAGTTTTCTTCCCAGAAGTCCCCATTAGTTCCAGATGAATTAGAGGCACCATGAACATGACCAAGTGTCAAAGCTACTGGCAATTCAGTAGGAAAAAAACTACAGTTCTTGAGAGTATGAAGAGACTTCTTTTTAAGACTATTTTTAGGATATTTTTTTCAAGAAAGATAAGCAGACAAGAGTTAAATTGTTTTTTCATTACTTTTTAATGACTGAAAAATTTCCAGGGACATGAAAATGGGCCCAGAACTCACCTCTGCAACACGTTTGACCTCTCCATGGTTGGCAGCATCAATGACCCCATCCCTCACCTCCTTCAACTGAGTCTCCTTCACAGATATCCAAGAGGAAAACTCAGAAAATCTGAAATAACACACGTTTTTCTTAAAGGGAGAATACATCAAGATGGCTAAAATACATATTCTATTCTGAATTTACTCGTGAAAATTTAACAAACAAATGATTATCAGGTTGATTAACAAATTTTCTGGAAACTGTCCCTTAACCATAGAGCTCAGGGCAGGGGTGGCCACTGCTGTACTCAGCTGCTTGGAAGAGGAAGAGAAAGGGCAGGGAGAGTCTAGTGGAGGGCAGAGTCTAGCTATAGGACTACAGCGTCACTAGCCTGAGCCCCTGGGTGTAAAAAAGGTACCAGTTCAGATCGGTCTCACGTGTCCCCAGCAGGGTGAGGCACTAACCAAAAGAGTGGAAACCCTTCCGAGGTGACCAGAGGACACTGAGGAGAAAGGACTTGCCCCAATTCTGCCTCAAAGAGAAAACATCTGGGTCCTCTGGAAATGATGAAGTGCCTCCCCCTATTTCTGACTGAAAATCAATCTCTTTACTCAATGAAGCATTTTCTTATAAGACCACAGGCAAGAACGTGCAATCTGGTTTCCTTTATTGTGTAAAATGAAATGAGTAGCCATGGTGGCACAGTGGTTAAGTGCTCAGCTGCCAATCTAAAGGTCAGTGGTTCGAGTCTGCCAGCGGCTCCACTGGAGAGATAAGAGCTGGCAATCTGCTTCTGTAAAGATTGCAGCCTTGGAAACCCTATGGGGGCAGTTCTACTCAGTCCTCTAGGGTCACTATGAGTTGGAATTGACTCAACAGCATACAAGAACAACAATGACAGTGACAGCATCTGAATGCTTAGAAGTCAGGGCAACTCTTCTCCCACTCTCCCACTCTGGAAGCGATGCTGAGAATACCTGCTGCTGTAGTCTTTCCATTTGTCTGGGTCTCCCATGAGCTTCTCATAGGTGCTGTTGATGGCCACCCTGAGCTCTCTGAGTGCCGTGTGGCATGTCTCAGGCATGCTCCTCCCTGGGTCCCGTGCAGGTAGCTTCAGACACAGCTCTTCAATGAGCTGTAACCTCTTCTCACAGAGATGATGAGGACCTTTGTCACTGAAGAAAATCTAACGAACAATAAACATTTTTTAATAATCCCTGTGAGAAGCCATATAATGTTCTTACACATTCATAGAAAAAAACAACAAAGAGTGCCACTTAGCTAGCAAGGGAAAGAAATTAAGCAATTGCATGTTTTCAGACCCAAACCAAACCATCAGCCTTGACATCACAGTGTGACTTTACAGGAGTCTCTGCCAGGTGCTGGTGACATACCCTGTGCTCTTTGATCATCTTCTCACTTCCTTCCTGGGGCACCAGCCTGCTCTCTCGATCCAGCTCAGTTCTGCATTCTTCCACTGATGCCAAGAATCTCTTTTTTTCTACATCAATCTTCAGATGAAGCAAATGATATGGGGCTTCTCCTTGAAGATCCTACATTCCATAGGAAGGCACAGAATAATTTTCCTGGGTATGTATATTTCCAACGAAAGTGGCAAAATATATATCTATTCTTTCTAGGGCCAATGAGAGTTGACCATTTTTATCAGCACCAGGCCTTTCCACCTGCTGTGGACAGGTGTTTTCACAGTGATCAGACTATTTAATTTTTGTAATAGCCTCACAGATATGATAAGGTAAGCTTCAGCAACGTGTTCAGAAACTCAGATTTCTCTACTAAAAGTATATGTGTGTGTGTGTGTGTGTGTATATACATATTATATATATATATTAAAGCAAGAGACATTAAATTCTCAAATGTAGCAAGCAGAGAGTTATTTCTTTAGCTGTGTTTTCCCTGTGCACAGGGCTGATTTTTTCAGCCTATGTTACTGAGATTGAAAAATCTAGAAAGTAACCCAACCTGACAGAGAGAGTTTTAGAAGTTAACATTCCTGACCCCATGACTCCTTCATATAAGACGTATGAACAGGCCACTCCATAGTGTGACACTCCTCAACCTGCTGCCTGAGTGAGCTTCCAAGTGCCCAGGTGGGGCCAATGATTAACATGCTCATCTGCTAACCTAAAGGTTGAACCTGGAGTCTACTCAGATGTATCTGGCAATCTACTTGTGAAAAATCAGCCACTGAGAATACTACGGGGCACTGTTACACTCTGCCATACCTGGGCTCACTGTGAGTCAGAGTCGATTTGAAGCTAACCGGTTTGGTTTTTTTCAGTTTTGAGTAATTTTCCTATACTCTGGCTCAAGGAAGACAGGCTTCCATAGGGTCTCCATGGCACAGCAACGGCATCCACCTGAGAGGCCGATCCTGAGGTCAGCCTCCATCTGGCAGGCCTAGCCTTGTCTCCCATAAGTCTCCTAGAGTGCATGGCACTCAGGTGGGACTGAGGAGAAGCCCATGCCTGCTCCCTGACTTTCACACTCCAAACCTGCTCTTTTCTGGTGGTTCTTGCTTTACCCTCCTGCCCACCCCCTGATCTTTGCTTCTTCCTTAAAGTCCTAGCTCCAAACAAATTATTTCACTAACGAATCTCCAATGGGAGTTCTGGTAGCATAATGCCTAAGGCACTTGAGTGCTAACCAGAAGGCTGGCAGTTCAAACCCACCAGCCACTCCTCGGAAGGAAGGTTGGGCAATCTACTTCAGTAGTGATACTGCCTCGACAACCCAAGGAGGGGTCACTATGAGTCGGGTCCGACTCAACGGCACGTAACAACAACAGCAACACAATCTTCAATATCCAAGTGGGTCCACCTCACTCTTTCAAAGTGTTCATAAATAACTTACTTTATTTTGGGCTTATCATTCTAAATTATACTTTTATTATTTGTAACAAATCTCGCTCTATGAAGTAGGAGCTCTTAGAGAAAGAGGATTGTATTTTTTTCATTACTGAATACTTAAATAACAAATGTTCATTATATTTTAAATCATAACTATCTAAACTAGATAGTAAACTCCTTGAGGACAGGAACTTTATTTATTTTGTAATTCTAGGAGTACAACCAAGATAAATGGAGAAAAGATTGAGATAGTCAGGAATTTCATTTAACTTGGATCCACAATTAACACCAATGGAAGGAACAGGCAAGAAATCAGATGTCCTATTGCACTGGGAAAATCTGCTACAAAAGACCCCTTTAAAGTGTTAAGGAGCAAAGATAACTCCTTGAAAACTAAAGTGCACCTGACCCAAGCTAAGGTATTTGCAATAGCCTCACAGGCATGTGAAAGCTGGACAACAAATAAGGAAGACCAAAGAAGAGCTGATGTGTTGAATTGTGGTGTTGGCAGAGAATAGTGAAAACACCATTGACTGCCATTAAAAAGGAACAAATTTGTCCTGGAAGAAGTGCAACTGGAATGCTCCTTGGAAGCGAGAATGGCCAGACTTCATCTCACCTACTTTGGTCATGTTGTCAGAAGGGACTAGTCTCTGGAGAAAGATATCATGCTTGGTAAAGTGGAGATCAGTGAAAAAGGAGAAGGCCTCAATGAGGTGGACTGACACAGTGGCTGCAAGGATGGCCTCAAGCATACTAAGGATTGTGAGGCCTGGGCAGTGTTTTATTCTGCTGTACATGGGGTGGCTATGAGTCACCCAACTCGGCAGCACCTTACAACAACAACAACACCCAAGTTAACTTACTCATATGAGGAGAGTTCACTAAATGTTGCTTGAATAAGTTAAATGCCTGTGTCATGCTTGACC